CACACAACATAATCTCAGATCGTTCAGGAGGACTTCAACCCAGCCTGTCAGGGCAACCCGTGCTGTGAGGATTACAACATCACAGACAAAAGACAGAGATACTCCATTAACATTCTCACCTCACGAGAATCATACTCAGGAGATCTGCAAGCAATGACGAGCGCCTAACCGCTGCACCACAGACGCTAGTTAACAAATCCCGGTTTTGTTTGTTTTAGTAAGAAGTTCACGGAACTTGCGTCTTGAAGATGTACCAGTTTGCTTTTTCAGTAAGGTTTTACGGCGCTCGCAACAGCAGAAGGTCATATGAGTGCCAAGGGGTGGATATCAACAGAGAAGTTCAAACGTGGAATCAGGCTCACCTCTCTAGCCTCAACAGCACAACGTCTGCTTCGCCTATAAATGTACCCCGGAAATAGTAGTTCACAAGAGAGTGACAAACATTAAAAAAAGTAGAGGGACATGACGATAGTAAGGAAGAGGAAAGAAAAAGCAGCAGTTGAGGATGTGTTGTGCAAAAGGTTAGAGGTGGTACGAGAGAGTAGCATAAAGAAAAAGATGAGCAGTGATAGTAACTGATAAGGACGATGGATGTTTGAAAGGAAAGATGAAGCAAACCACACCACACCACACGTCAACAACCCAACATTTCAGCCATAAACAATCATCATATGTGAAAAATTTCAAAGAATAAGCAATACGTTTTGAAGTTTATTCTGAATTTTTGTGTTTTATTTCGTCACTTCCAGTCATATAGGGAGAAAAAATATACTTGAGCTCACCAGAGAACAAAATTTTAGTACATGCAATAGTAATGCTGTACAAACTCATGGAAAGATTCCATTCAACAAGATCTCCTACAAAAGCAACAACCAAAGACAAGACAGACACACAAAAAAAAGAAACTCCTACAAAAGCAACAACCAAAGACAAGACAGACACACAAAAAAAAGAAACATCGCAGAAGAAGAAAAATAAAGTCCAAGAATAAACACACACACACACACACATACACACACACATACACACACACCCATTTACTTCCTCCCCCTCCCCCCCCCCCATATTAACTCATTCGCTATGTATTATTTTCAACTTGTGGACGAATTTTTTTCGGGAGGGCGAAATGAGTTCACAAGTCTTGGGGGCCATAAACTCAAATAAATAACATATTATATACCAACATTTTCAGTATGGTTTGTAGAATACATCTGTATTGTTTATTTGAATATTTTTCAACTTTGGTTCCTGTAAGAGGCGATTATGCAACACAATTGTGATTGACTGCGGATAAAATTTGAAAACAAAAAATTTATAGATCTAATCTCAAATGAAACTCAAAAAATATGTTTGCACCTAGTCAAATTATACATCAAAATAACCATAACTGTATATAGAACAGGGAAATATTGAAAAATGAGCAGTTATTTACATACATTCTATGATATTTGTACATTTGGATCATAACCTCCGATATTGAAAAAAATAATTTTTTAAATAACTTTGAAAAAAGGATCCCAAACAAACAAAAAACACTCGTATCTTATATGGAATTATTCAGAATTGCATTTGGAATAAACCTATTCATGTCTTGGGTGGTACTTTTTGAGAAAATTCACCAAAAAGTAGTGATTTTGGGGAGAGAAAAAAATATTTTGACTGTTTAAATCTAGGCTTAGATCTAGCACTCAAAAATATTGATTTCTCAATTACAGCAAAGATACTACACCCGTAGGCTGAACTATCTTTGATTACAGTGCGTTGGCAATTTGAGTCCAGTAGTATCAATATTATAAAGAAAAAAGTCCTACACTTCTTTAGTGAGCAAAATAATGATACATTTTGTTGTGTAAAAGTACTAAGACTGGTGTCTGGGCTATAATTTGGGCTAGGCGATAAAACAATGTCGCATAAACTTCGAAATCGTGTTTCAAAACTGAATCAAAACTTCCGATTTTCGGTGGAAACGCTTGACCCGGAAGTCATCTTTATATTATGACCTTTATTTTAACATGGATATGTCGATTGGAATAGAAACCAAGCTAAAATTGAACGTCGGTTCTTGAGCCGCCGGGGGCGGCTTAGCGTACTGACGGCACTTTAGCCGTGCCGCCCCCCCCACGGCTCGGCGCAGCGAATGAGTTAATATAAAACAACAACAAAAACCCACGCACTAACACAAAACACAAGCACAAACACGTACACACACACACGCACGCACACACACGCATACGCACATGCATGCGAACACCCATACACATACACACACACACTCTCTCTCTCTCTTTCTCTCCCTCTCTCTCTTTCTCTCCCTCTCTCTCTCTCCCTCATTCTCTCTCACCCTTTCCTCCATCCACATCTAGAATATAACCATAATAATACAAGTATGCACAAACAGACTCACAGTCACATGCCTAATGATATAAATGAACAATAATTGTAAACATGAATAGTATTAAGCTTGATAAGTAGTACTAGTACTCAGTATTCTGATTATAAC